AGATAATATTGGTTTAACCAGATTTATTAACTAAAAAAGCCACTGATGCAAGGGCAGATATACAAAGTAAACTAACCTATAATTATTCAGTTGAAGGAGAATTCCAAAACCCAAAAGCAATTGAAATCCAAGAAAACAAATCCCCTGAAAAGGTGTCAAAAGACCACTTGCAACTGGCCGCAATTTTGTACGTTCCACCTGGAGTTAAAAGGAAAGGCACTCACAAGTTCACAACCACAAGAAAGAAAACAAAACAGGGAATGAAATAAACTGCAGAGGCCAGTGGACATTACCATGGTATCAATATCCCGGTCAAGGAGATCGTTTATGGTGCATCCAGCGCCCCTTAAGAGCAGAGCCCCACATCCAAATAGTGTCATCATCTTAATATCAGGAAGGTGTCCTGGGCTCGCAGCCAATGTTATTGACCTGCACCAACAACTATGTCTTTCACACAACTTCAACTTCAAACAAATTGACCAGCATTCCTTCATTTTCCGTCAAACCAAACAACGCAGTGGAGAGACCAAAGTTTAAAAAGTTGAGGTAAGAGTCGCTTACCACATACAAGGCCAAGCGAGCAACCAAGTGCCAATGGGCCTGTCGAGGCGAGCGAGCTTCGCATAAGGGCGAGCTTGTCTTGGCAAATACAAGTCGATCCAAGAAGCCTCAACTTCAACCTTGACGTCATTGCTGCCCTGATTTCCGTCCTTCTTGGCGCCTGTAGATGAAGACGAGCTGGAGATGTGGGCTACGGGTCTCAGATCAAATTCGACGCAACTGGGAGTCCAACGGTGCCTCTGAGTGAATGGGCCCAACTGGGTTCCGTTGGGATAAGCGTTAGGGTTAGAATTTTTCGAGGTGGTGGTGGTGGTTGGTTGGTAAGGAGAAACTGCGAATGGGGTGCGGGAGAGAGAGGGTGAAGGTTTCACTTTCAGAAACCTACGCGAAGCGCGAGAGACGAGGCAAAACGACGCCATTTTCAGAATTGACTTTCCTCCAAAACGACACCACTTAAGTTGGTCGATATCGATATGGAATTTCTTTTTGTGAGATGTAAGATGTCATCTTCTTGGATTATCTCGTCCACTGGTAAAGTGAAGTGATGGCTTTGTGCATTTGCAATTGCTTTACGCTCTCAAACCACAATCCTTTGAAATTCTCAAATTCAATTCCCAGAGCTTCTTTGTTTCAAAGACACACTCATCTTCATCCTCCAAGAGAAACACCATCATCACCTTGTTTGACCAAGAGAGACCTCGGCCTCTCAATTGTCGCTATTTTCTTAAATGGGTTTTTGCCAAACTTGCAAAAGGCCATTCTCGCTCAAGACTTGGAGCTTCAGAGGTACACAGATTCCAAGGAGGGTTTCACTCTCCTCCTGCCCCCCTCTTGGATAAAGGTGAACCAAAAGTTCAAGCTTGTATTTTTATTGCTCTCTGTCACTCTGTGTGATTATTAATGTATTGCTTTCAGTTTCAGTCAGTATAAGTGGATTTTGTGTGGATGAAAATGGCTGCTTATGGATGGGCAGGTCGAAAAAGCAGGGGCAACTGCTCTGTTTGAAGAGGCAAATAACGGAAGCAACAATATTGGTGTTGTGGTGAACCCGGTTCGTCTTACGAGCCTTGGAGAGTTTGGCAGTCCTCAATTTGTGGCTGATAAGCTTATACAAGCTGAAAGGCGCAAGGTGAAAAGTGCTTCCCTTGAATGTGTGTTTGCTATTATTATTATTTTCTTTTTCTCTGAAGTTGCTGATGGTGATTTATGATTGATGTTGGTAGTAACTTAGAATCCACCTTTTATATATATAAGTGGGAATTTTGGTTCAAAGAAAATTTGCATCAATGCACAAACCACCAATGCCAGCATTTAGTTTTCTTTCTGTTTTTTTAAAATTAGACTGCGGCATTTTGTTTGAGGATAAAGATCATGCCTATTGTGGCCTTTTGTATCTTTTATGCTTGGTTCACTAGGAGAATATCTTTCTTGTTCTTAGCAAACCAGGGCTAGGCGCAGAAAATGATTTGCTATATGAAGAAAACAAATATTTTTTTTGGGGGTGGGGTGGGATGTGTTTAAGGATGCAGAGTTGCCATGGAATTCAGTTAAGTTAGGCATTTCAGTAAACCAAATTTGTTTCTTTGTTAATCTAAGAACAGTTTATATGTTGGTTTATAGTATACCACTTGCTGACAGTGGCAGATCCCGGAATTCTTCCCCCGGGTCAATGTGTGAAAGTACGCTAATATAATTTGTATGCATGTATGTATGGACTGTGGACTGGCAAATAGAAAGAGCAACGGACATGAGTAAGCAAAACAACAGCAATATAAAAAGTAACAGGACTTTGTACCAAATAATGTTGTTAATAGCATTGCTGTTGTGGTAACAATCCCGTGTAGACAACATGGCTGCAATATTTAAAAAGGGGATCAAATTAAAGGGAATGGCTGCTTAATGGTAAAATTTGAACAAGAAGTTTATGAGGAAAGAAGTGAAGTGATTATATAACTGCTAAAGTTCAGTAGCAATTTACCGACACATGTTTTACTTAGTTCAGTCAAGTACATCTCCTTCATGAATGATCTACAAATCAAAGTCAGAAAGACAAAGATGATTACAAAGAACATTACAGCTACATGCTTGCAGACATAATTATCACTAGATTTCTTTATTTCTTACTAGCACAAGCTTCTATTAAACTTTTTCTGCATAATCCTTTAAAATACATTGCCAACAGAAAATAGCTTGTGCATGCAACCATGAATTCATGTATGATTGTATGTAATGTAGGTTCAGGACAGTGGCCTTGTATCAAAGTAAATAAGTTAAAGATAGTCACAGATGACTGAAATTTTACTTCTTCTCTTCTGAACGATATGACCCGACTGGTCTGTAGTACTAGTATATTCTTCTTAAGCGTCTAATACGCCACATGAATTGTTTGTTGTAATTTGGATGAGCCCATTTTATTATGACCTGAGATTATTGGTTGCTGCTGCTATCTTTTATCACTGAAAGGCTGATTGAAGTTGGAAGTTTTGATTGAAGGAATATTATAAGTTATGTATGTGCAACCTCAGTATAATAATGTTATGATATTCCCAATTGTGTCATCACAACTTCGGATGAATATCACCGAAATGAGCTTGCAGTATAAGTTTTTTCCTTTTTTCTTTATTATGAAAAGTTTCACTTCTCTTATTTTCAAAATATTAAAATTTATAATTGTCTTGTTAAACCTCTCTGTTCATACACAGGAAAGTACAAAAGATGCTGTGGTTATTGGATTTGCAGAGAGACCAGGCCAGGGTGGCCTACAAGTATACGAGTTCGAGTATGAGGTTGATAGCACAAGAGGAGGGATGAAGAGGATCTTTTCGGCTGCATTTGTGGCCTCAAAGAAGCTATACCTCGTCAATATCACTCACTCAGACAAACCAGAGAGTCCTCTTAACTCCAATACAAGAATAATGCTAGAACAAGTACTTCATTCCTTCGATGCTGCACCTTTGACATAATATCACTGCACTTTCTTCCATCATGATTACTTTACTATTCTTGCCTCTGCGTAAGCTCAAGTAATATTTGTCTTCAACTTACTTTGAAAGAGATCAAAGTGATATTGTGAAAGTTGAAACCACAATGAAAGTAATGCGGTCTTCCCTTTATTTCTAGTCTCCAAGGCATGGACCAACAAGGAACCACAAGACCACAGAGAGCCATTGCCGTTTCCCCTTCTACTATCTCAATGTCATTGCTGGTACGGCAGCACGGTGCGATGTGTAGAAGTAGCAAACGTCCTCTTGGTTTTTCACCCATCTTTCCCTTCTCAAGTCCTCTCCCAAACTCAGTAAGTTTTTAACCCCCATCCTCCCTTCTTGTGTCCTCCCCAAAACTCAGAAAACTCGGAGAGCCAAACAATGGCCGAAGAAGGCAGAGGGGTTCATGCATTGGATTGGATGGGAAGATAAATTTTTTTATTCAATTAAAAAGTATTGAAACATAGAAAAAAAGTTATCATCAAATCAAAACCAATCACAGATTTTTCTTGGAATCAAGTACATGAGAAAAACTAAAGATTGAATGTTTCGAATGCCTAGACACCAAAAAGCATGAAATATACTTGGAATGATTTGATTGGTTTATCGCAAGCAGATTGGATCAGCAGATTTTTTTTATTAAAAAAAAAACGCAAAAAGACGAGAATATCATGAGAAGGATTGAATAAAGTTGGAAGCATATATCTAGGCGTTGAAATAGGGGCGGCAAGGAAGCAAGCCATGCAATGCAATGCTATTGTATATTTATATTATTAAACTTTGCGCAATGCTTGACTTTGCTTGTGCGACTTTCTGCATAGAAAATTTCAAAATTCCAAAGCCCACCTCCCACAGGGAGATACTGTACGTATCTAGATCCCCATTCCATTTAAATATTTCCCAGTATATTCAATGAGAAGAAAGTATCTAATTTTCTTGCCCCCATTGTCATTGAACCTCTCTCTCTCTCTCTCTCTCTCTCTCTGGTTGGTTGGGTTACATTTGTTTTTATTTCCATAAACAAAAATGTCAAACTTTTGGCAGAAAATGTAGAAGCAGTCAAATAGTTTTGCTCGGACAAAGTCAAGTAATTTTGTTCAGACATGACATCCAATAAAACAGTAAACCCAATAAGTATTAAGGAGAAAGAAAATGATTGACCTGTTTGAGGAATGGAAAATTGGAAAAGTCAGACGGGGGTAGGGGGTGTAGGATGATGAGTACAGAGGGAGACACAGAGAATAGAAATGTGAATGTGAGCTGAGGAATGGGGAGAGCATGAGAAAATTTAAAATTGGGCCGTTATTTTCATGTTGAATTGTTTAATGACGAATTTTCAAACATGGCAACTGTAGCTTACGTGCATCATCGCCTAAAGTCTTGTAAACCTTTAAAAAAAAAACTGAAGTGGCATTGAATACAAGGTTTACGCTACTTTGCTTGAGTCTCTCTCTCTCTCTCTCTCTCTCTCTCTCTTTCTTTGTTGTATAAAATCCAGTTGCATATTTATAAGCTGCTAATTTAATTTTGAGCTAAAATGGTACACAACCAAGCAGATGCATCAAGAATCCAAGAGATGGATTCAGGAGAAAAGCGCCTTAATGAGCTTGGTTACAAGCAAGAACTCAGAAGAGAGATGGTAGGTAATTTTTTATTTGATTTCATGTTATGTTTTATTATCATATTAACTTGAGCTTTGTGGATTGGATACTTCATTTTCTGCAGACTCTGTTCAAAACTCTTGCAATATCATTCTCCACGATGACACTTTTCACTGGAATTACTCCCTTGTATGGTTCAAGCCTTGCATATGCAGGTCCTGCAAGCCTTGTGTGGGGATGGGTGGTGGTATCATTTTTCACCTGGTTTGTAGGAATTGCCATGGCAGAGATCTGCTCCTCTTTCCCGGTTTGCCACTTCTCACTTCTAATTCATTTTTTTTATATTGTCGAGTATGTGTTCGCCTATCCTACATTTACTCTCAATATACTAACATGGAGATGGAGATTTCTTTCATCCCATTCTGCGATTCAAATTCTAACCATTGTTCATTATCGAATAAGCACGTTTAATATGACAAAAATGAATTATTAGTTTAATTAAGAAACATGTTAAGAGGATTATCATACTAGAACAATTTGTTTCCTGCTTATAAAGTATGTTTTGAATGAGAATATTGCACTATGATCAGTTGCGGGAGAATGGAAATAATTCCCTGCTACAAGATGAATATAATAAATTTTTATTCCAGCCATATTTTGGTTGCTCTTTAGAGGCAGTAAATTAAGTTGTTGACTTTGCTCTCTTAGGAATATAGCAACTTAGCAAGAGACGCCTTTCGTTACTGAAAAGTTTTTAAGTCCCAGACAACTTACTTCCTCTTTGTGAAACAGACTACAGGTTCTCTTTACTTCTGGGCTGCCCATTTAGCTGGCCCCAAATGGGGTCCATTGGCATCATGGTGCTGTGCTTGGCTTGAGAGCATAGGGCTCATTGCCGGCATCGGTACTCAGGTACTAATCTTTTCATTTTGAAAGAAGAAATTAGTGATATGTGTATATATGTTGAATTTTGACCTAAACACCTTAAACTTGATTTGAAAGGCGTATGCAGGATCACAAACACTGCAAAGTATCATTTTATTGTGCACTGGAACAAATAAGGATGGAGGCTATCTTGCACCAAAATGGTTGTTCTTATGCATGTACATTGGCCTCACTCTTATATGGGCAATTCTCAACACATTTGCTCTAGAAGTAATTGCGTTTATTGACATAATATCAATATGGTGGCAGGTAAAATCATCTTTTGGTTTCTTGCCTGCTTTTTTATAGTTTTTTGTGGGAAAGTGGTATCTTATGATTCTGTTTTAAGTCACTATTTTGTACCATGTTTGATACTATGTTAATGTCAAAAGGTGCTAATTCTACCTTTATGAATAAACTCTATGGAGGGTTTACATATTCCCATTAAGCGTGTTGTTTTTGTACATGTACAGAAAGTTCATACTCCCTACTATGTGGATGAAGAGAAAATTTAGAAAACTGATATATGAATATGATCAAACTTCTAAAGAAGCCCTGTAGATATGTTCCTTTGGTTTTTTCATTCCAAGCCAAATGCAGTGGGTCCAAATTAGGATACATCTACATATGTATATGTAAACCACATTTACAAAAGAGAAACTACATTGGTTTCAATTGCTGAACCTCAACACTTCCTCCCTAGGCAGGTGTGTGTAAAATATGTTTACTTACCTTAAGTATCATATATCATGCACGATGCGTGGGTGTAATTAATAGTTAATCATCAACTAATTCAAGGCCTGTTCAGAAAGCACTCAGAAAATGCACATAGATGGAGAACAAAAAGGCGCTATGAACATTGAACCCATTTCAATATTTCCAACCTGCCTTCCATATATATTTGCAGTATGCCTCATTTACATTACTTGTTCATTCAATTTCGCTTTATCTACCGTGGACTAAAGCAGCCACGTGGATTATAATTCTCTCTGATATAAAATATTGCTCGCAATTTTTTGTTTGGCAGGTCATTGGGGGGACGGTTATTGTGATAATGCTTCCCCTTGTAGCACTGACTACACAGTCTGCATCATATGTGTTCACAAATTTCAACGTGGCCCCTGAGAGAACTGGGATATCAAGCAAGCCTTATGCAGTGATTCTATCATTTCTTGTTAGTCAGTATTCATTATATGGATATGATGCTGCAGCACATCTGACAGAAGAAACCAAAGGTGCAGACAAGAATGGTCCTATTGCTATTCTATCTAGCATTGGTATCATATCGGTGTTTGGGTGGGCATACATCTTGGCCCTTACTTTCAGCATTCAGGTATGACGCAAAGCCTAATTTTAGTGCAATTCTGGTAGAGCGGGCACCTATTTGAGAACCCAAATTACTTTTAAGGCCTCTGCTAATTAGTGTGCAGAGTGCCTCATTCCTCTGTTTTGAAAGTGCACAAAAAATGAAGTCAAATGTTAATTTGTCCGTAGTGAAAAATTAATTTCACATGTGTAGTAGACTTCTGTAGTTCCATAGTCTGCCGATGCGATGGCAGAAACTAGTAGAGTTTTTAGAGTTTGCACTAACCATTTCAACCCCAAGCAGTGAAAATAATCATTGTATTCTTTATTCTGGCAATCCTTCCCTCAGTCTTTGTGCAGTTTTTCTTTTTCTGGTATGACAATCTTTCATGGAATTTGACTAAAGCATAAATTGATTGTTGTAAGTGCTTTTTATAGCTGGAATATTATTAAACTGATACTTTTCTGCAACTTTTCACTCAGGATTTTAGCTACCTATATGATCCGACCAATGAGACTGCTGGGACGTTTGTGCCAGCTCAAATACTCTACGATGCTTTTCATGGGAGGTACAATAGTTCCGCTGGAGCAATCATTTTACTGTTCATCATTTGGGGTTCATTCTTCTTTGGCGGGCTTTCAATTACTACTAGTGCTGCCAGAGTGGTAAATAGACTTTTCATTTTTACTCCTAAAAAAGCAGTTATACCTTCACTTGCTGAGAACAGCACCTTAATCCTAGATTTACAAAAGTAATCTGTTAGGTCTGGCACCGCCAAAAAAGTTGTTTATGGTTTAGGGTATTTTCAGGTATATGCTCTATCAAGAGACAAAGGGATTCCATTTTCATCGGTATGGCAAAAATTGCACCCAAAACACAAAGTTCCTTCCAATGCAGTTTGGCTCTGTGCTGCCATCAGCATTCTCCTTGGACTTCCAATCCTGAAAGTTAATGTAGTCTTCACTGCAATAACTTCCATATGCACAATTGGATGGGTAGGAGGATATGCAGTTCCAATCTTTGCAAGAATGGTAATGGCCGAGAAGAACTTCAAACCTGGGCCATTTTATTTGGGGAAAGCAAGAAGGCCAATTTGCTTTGTTGCCTTCATGTGGATTTGTTATACCTGTTCAGTCTTCCTCCTTCCCACTTACTACCCAATTAGTTGGGATACATTCAATTATGCACCTGTTGCTTTGAGTGTAGGTTTGGGTCTGATAATGCTTTGGTGGGTGTTGGATGCAAGGAAATGGTTCACAGGACCTGTTAGAAACATTGATACTGATAATGGAAAGGTATAAACTTATTCACAAGTTTGAATTTCTTTCATAAGTAGTAGGTTCAAAGCTTCCCTTCGATGCAGCTCCTAGCATTTTGTTTTCTTGTATCTATGTCCATTCATTGCATTCCAAATTTAGAATCAGTAAGCGATCCCCCATTTGTTGCCTAGGGCATTATTTATATAAAGGGCAAATTTATGCTACAGAACAAATGCTTATGTTGCCGACTGTGTATACACAGGCGCGCGCGCACACACACACACACACAAACATATGAATTATTCCGGAAGAATTCATGCCACAGTTAAATTTGAGAACAAGTTAAGCAAGTCAAGTACAGAGTTACAAGCAGCAATCTTTAAACATGCATGTCCAGAATGCAAACTAGGGAACTACTTCCCCACCTCTAAGACTTGGAAATTGTGTAGCACCTCTAAGACTTGGAAATTGTGTAACAGTCCAGAATGAATGTACTGCCGATCTCAATTCTGTCAACTCCTCCAACAATTTTTTGTAGCTTGAATTCTTGGCTACAACGTCTTCGGAGACCTCCTTTCTTTCCACCAGTCTAGCTGCGTACATGTCAAAGTTATTGATACTATCCCACAGCAAAGCCTGCTTCCTTGCATCACTCTCACTTCTAACATTAGCTACACATTCTCTAGCTTCCTCCACCTTGGCCCAAAAGCAGGAATCCTGAGTCAAACCTGCAAATTTGATTCTCTTCCTATTTTCCTCCTCATTAACCCTCTTCTCCCTCCACCACCTGTCGAAAATCTCAAACCTCCTCTCTCTTCCATGCTTCAAGTAATGACCCTTGACAAGGTGCATATTAGACCTATAATATTCAGCAATCTCCAGTGGCTCTACCAGGAGCATGTAAAACTGGGAAGCATTTACCCATTTTGCTCGCCTGTGAAAATTGTGAGGCAGCTCATTTTTGTCCAACATTTCTATCACGCCATTCCAAAATGCAGCAAGTTTGTGGCGGTTCATGTTGACTCTGTGACCCATTTTTGAGAAGCCCCTTTGCCTGAAGGCGTCATAGTACCCTAGTTTCTCATCAGACTTATCACAGGATCCCTTGTACCATTCTATTTCAGCTCTGTAAGGTGTGATCCTGGAGAGCCGAACGGCTAAATCAGCACACTTGAGGTTTGGTGTACGTCCCAATCGCCTCGCTATCTTTAGGCACTCTTTTGCAGGTTCTGAAGCTGATTCCTGAAATTCATTCGACAAGAGATGAATGGAAGGAAAACAGGTTAAATAAATTGGAGAATGATGGTGAAATATTAGTACCTGGCCACTTATTCCCAAGGACTGCAATGCCAATGCAACCCCTGCGTCCCAGCTTGACTGAGGAAGCTCCCCTTGCATGAAGCTTCTCTTGTTCAAAAACTGTGAACAAAACTTGCCAACATATTCTCCGTACTTGAGATGATCCTCAATACAGGAACTGGGGTTACCTGCAGTAAACGTCAAGTACATCATCTTGATGACAGATGCTGCATTGTCCACACAGATAGCTCCCTCTTGTGAGCAAAACAGGTAGTTCCCAAATGGGCAGTAGGAACTAGTTGCTCTCTCTTCCCCTGCTTCCGATGCCACTTGCAAATGAGCAGCTACAAACAGAAACAGCTCAGCTTTTGCCTCGTCTCCAAGCTGCACACCAAGATTTCCAAACTGAGGAGCAGTCCAGTGTTGCATTAAGAGATGCAGTTGGGTGGTGTATGATGCCAATGGAGCAAAGAGTAGCCTCGGCATGATGTCGTGCTTGGAAACCACATGGCAAAAGTTGCCACCCCATCTTTCTCGGAGGATTGCTCTGGAAAGGGACTCATTGCCAAGCAATGGTGAACCAAAGGTAATGCAGAGGACTGAACGGGAAGGGGAGACAGATTGGAGGTAGGAGAGGAGCCAAAGAGCACAGAGTGAGGCAGTTGTTCCTCCTATAGAATGGCCTGTGATGACAATGGACTTGCTATTCTTTGTTACTTCCACCATCTGCACCAGCCATCACCATATATTAATTTTTTGGAGCACTAATCTACTAATCAATGTTACAATTAGAAAGCTAAATCAAAGTGGACAATTTAATCCATTTACTTCGATTTTGATGGCAAATCACAAATCTATGTCCAGTTTGATCCCTGTAGTTTCAGTTTTCATGATTCTAGGCATGTGGTTTACTAGTTGTTGCAAGGCCAAGTCACATTTTCGGTTTTTGTGGCTTGGCTTATTTTCCACTTTGATCCTCGTTGTTTCAATTTTGGGAATATTAGGCTTATAGTTTCTTAGAGTTAGCAATCAAGTCCTACAAGTCCAACATTGCTAAGAAATTAAAATGTTATTAGGTGTACAAGGAAAACGTGTATAAGGAAAGATGAATAATATCATAATTGTTATCAGGTGGTCTAATTCCGAAGGTGAGAGGAAGAGGTTGAAGAGACCTTGAGTAACACTTGCATCTGACAGAAATGATGAATATGAGCCTTGCAAGTATAGTGAGACAAATGATGTAAGGTCAGATGCAAATGGTAATATGAAAAAGCATCTAGCACCAGGAAATCTGGAGGTGGTTTGTGGAGTACATAACCATACTACTTCATCGTATCTTGAAGGTCATTCATTTGCAGGGTGACTTTCTAAAGAACAGAATACCTTGTTGGTGAACATGTCTAAGAGTTGAGCAGTGACATGTCTAAAATTGTATGTAGGTGTAAAGAGTGTGCCCAAAAATAGGATTGTTGGGTTCCATTAAGTCACCCTAATGAAGTCTTTCATTTGAACAAAAATAATAATAAATGTTGTAAATAAACTAATTATAAAGTAAATTTTATTAGGGTGTACAAGAACAAGACATACTTGATTTTATAAACAGTGTAATTTTGTGAGGCCAAACTCCTACCTCACCACTAGATATGCTCTAAAGAGACTCCAGATGCATCTATCATAAGAATAAATTATTTTATTTTTCTTAATTTTGGTCATAGAAAGAAATATAATTTATTTTGGCAATTTGTTGACTAAAGATTTTGGCAGTGGGAAAGCAATCTTGTCAACACGACTCGTAAATTTGCTTTTTGTTCATTCATTGGTACGAATTGTTCCTTTTGTCAGATTAATAATGCAACAACCAGCCAAACACGCAGGAAAGCCTCCAACCACAAAAAAGAAAAGAAATGCATGAATGATATCAATTATCTGACCTGGTTTTGGACAGCTTGGAAGCAGCCCAGGAAGAGATTGAGCAGCCCTGCATGCACCATGACGGCCTCTTCCTCTCCATTATTATTGGTTAATGGAGAAAAAAAGCCGTGGCCAGCGCTACCCAACGCCACCAGATTCCGGCTGCGTCTCGAATATTCTTCTTCTGATGATGATGATGATGATGATGATGGTGATGATAGTGATGATGTCATAGTTACGTTACTGGAAAAGGCAAAGTAACCGACATCTCCGATTTGGTGGGTTACAAAGCCGCCGTATGGAGCAGCGGCCGCCGGGGTGGC